TGCCGATTTCCTTTTAATCGGACTAGCTGTTCGCGACCTTGTGTCGTTCTGAACGACTGCCGATTTCCTTTCAGTCGGACTAGCTGTTCGCGACCTTGTGTCGTTCCGAACAGCTGCCGGTTTTCATTCCTGTCGGATTAGCGACTCACGACGTCAGTTGTTCTGAACCGCTACCGATTTCCAGTCACCACTGTCAAACCTTAAGCAGTAGCAAATCGTATGTAGTTGTCATACGACCGCTCCGAAAATCAACCGTGGTTCTAACAACGCGATATTTAAAATCGAACCTTGCTGCGGAGAACCGCTGTCCGTCGAGCGAGCGGACCGAAGCGTACCAACCCCCGTCTACCCGGCAATAGCCTAAATAGTAACGGTGCTCATTTACATAAGGATGTAAAATATTGAAAATACTAACAGTAATAGTAATAACGAACTCCCAGGATTAAAAATAATAACAATCCCAATGTATATTCAAATTCACACCGAACCTCATCACACGTCCAATTATTTAATTCAACTTGCGTAAGAATATATTTTTTGAATAAACCTAAGTGTTAATATTTTGAATAAAAATGATTTATATACTCATACAAATGAAACGGCTTTAACTAATTAAATGAACTTTTGAACAATCCATCCTGAAAACTCATTCCTGTAATCTCATCACGTGATCGCCAGGTCCTGTCTCAGGTAAATTAGATTTGTTTCTAAGACCTAAAAGAGGACCGACGGGTGAGAAGACGTTAGACAAGTAATATCGGGAAGTCCGTTGACTTGACTACGTCGTTGAACAGTCTCACTCGACTCGCATGCTTGCCTTATCTCATTAGGTCAGTGCCGAGATATAATACACAAAAGTGTCGTGTGTCAAGTTGCGTTCTTCCGTTAGGACCCGATCGTAACCGTAGGTCAGGACGTAACATTACATTTGCTTTTGTTCCAATTCCGCCGTTCCTTCATTCAACGGTTTTCATCCATCCAGACAATTATAAATCATTTACATCTTACACTACCTTCGGAGAATTTCTCCCGGGTACGTTTAACTTCTCTCGTGCTTCGGGAAGGGCAGATGTGACCGACACACTCGGTTACGATTGACCCCCGGCTCTGGGAGGAAGTAAGCAGGGTGAGTTTGCTTCTTCTTCTTCTAAGTTTAAGGACAAAAATAAAAATAGTAGTGGCTCCTCGTCAGCAGTGAGCTCTAGAAATAGCAAGAGCGGTTCTCCTGCTTCTCAGGCAGCCACAACGCTCTCAAATGTATCTTCTTCCAATTTAAGCATTGACTCAAATAAAACTCTTTCCAACTCTGAAAAATCTAGCCTTTCTTCCACTAAACACAAGGGACTTCGTACTCTCTCAGTTTCTAAATTGTTACCATATCT